TTGCCCTGCGCAAACTCTCTTAACAACTGAGATTTTTATTTTCTCTTTTCGCTGACACTTCTTCCGTTGGCATCAACAGCACTGTGAAAGCAACCGGTGATATCTTAAGTCGGCATAGATAGCTCTGTCACTGTAGAATTAGCCGGTCTCGCAGCATCTTCCGTTGGCATCAACAGCACTGCGGCGAGGACGGTTGATTACCTATCCAAGTCTCGGTCGAGAAGGATTTCTGAATCCTTATTGGTCGAGGTCATCTCATCAGCCTTCTCGGCAAAGTGAGGTGTTACAGTTATTACATTCGGCACATTGAGAGCTGAATTTGATATTGAACTTCGTAAGAATAGTAACCTTGTCTTCAGGTTCGAGAGCCCAAGAGGCCGAGACGTGTTCCTTTCTCGGCCACAATCGCAAGACGCAGAAGTCAGCCGCGCACCCAACGCAACATCAACAAAATTTACTCCTCGGCCGAGCTCAGCCGACGAGTTGGCACGCCCCGCATTCACCAAAGGACGTAGTTAGCTTATAGATTACTCGGCTTGCGCGCCACGTAGGCTTGGTAGTTTCTAGGGTCAACAATATCACAATACTAAACAAGAATTTTTGTAAGATTTTGTAAAATTTGAAAAACAATTCACATAAATCAAAAGCTCCATAAGGAATTAACCAAATTTTTTTGTTAGCTTTCTTTGTAGGACCTTGAAGCTAGTTGAATTTTATACCGGAAAAACCATGTTTATTGATTGATTAAAATACCAAATACAAAGAGGCCTTATATAGAGAAAGACTAAAGCAAACTCTAGACTAAAACCCTAAAACAAATCCTAGATAAAAACAAATACTTAATGGGCAAGTAACTAATCCTTGACGCGCAAGATAACTAATAGCAACATCCCCCGTCAAACTCATAGCGGAACACAAACATGAGTTTCCCAAAGTAGATGTGGATGCAAGACTCTAAATTCCAGTGCTAATGTCACTACCAATGCCGATGCCGACTTCAAGCTACCATGTCCAATCATCTTTCTGAGATTCAGATTCTGAATCAGTTGCAATATGCAAAACAGAAACTGTTGCTGCTCCAAGTGGTGACTTCTGTGGAAATTCATGTTGCTGAGATCTCTTCGAACATTGGGATTTCCAATGCCCTTTCCCTTTACAATAAGAACACTCATCTATAGCAACCCCAGTTCTAATACGAGATCTTGTCGTAGCCAATGCTGAAGTGTTTGACAAAGATGAAGAAAGCCTATGCGATTGCACACGGACTTCTTCGACTTGTAACTCATTAAGGACCGAATCAATAGATGGAAGAGGAGTTCAATGAAGGATGGAGCTATGGAGTGTCTCGAACTCATCTCGAAAAGGCATTAGAAATTGAACAAGACGTTGTTCTTCTCTATATTGACAATAGAGCTCGACAATGCCAAGTTCTTTAGGCTCAGTCAATGCAAGTTGATCCCAAGGATTGGCCATTTCATTATAAAAAACTTGAATACTCTTATCACCCTGCTAGATTGCACGAATCTCCATTTCTAATTGATACCTCATAGAAAAATTGGCCTTGGTATACAACTTTGCCAAGTGATCCCAAACTTCCTTAGACGTTGAGAACTTAGCTAGTTGCATTCCAATAGTCAAATCAACAGAATTATTAATCCAAGTAATAATCTTCGAATTATTCATCTCCCATGCAGCTAACAATTCAACATGTTTCTCATCTTTGGGGTTATTTGGAATAGAAATCATTCCAGAAACATAGCCCTACAAACCTTTTCTAATCAAAAAATTCTTCATAACATACGCCCAATACACATAATTATTTCTATTCAATTTCACACCAATAGCTTGTAAGGAATCATCCTTTGCAGATGCCATGACAACACTAAGGAACAAGATACCTGATAGCAAGCAGGCGACTTGAACAGACGATTTTTGATCTGGTTATGTACTGATGCAGATGCAGACTGATGCAGGTGCAAAGATGCAAAATCAAAGATTGTGAGTACGGTAAAGCAGTGCGACGGTAGTCCAGTTCATCAACGTGGCTGCAATGATTGCAACAATTCAAGTAGGTACAAATTCAAACCGGTGCAGGTAGGTTGTAGTTGGAGGGGTCGATATAGATGCAGCAGTGCAGAGTGATGTGGTGTGGTGGCGGGCTAATCAGGCGGACGACACGGTGGTTCCTGAGATAGCAACCTTGCTCTTGATACCAAGTTGAATTTTATACCGAATACAAAGAGGCCTTTATATAGAGAAAGACTAAAGCAAACCCTAGACTAAAACCCTAAAACAAATCCTAGACAAAAAAAAAAAAAAAACTTAATGGGCAAGTAACTAATCCTTGGCCCGCAAGATAACTAATAACAATCTAAACTCCAACAAATACAACCTCTTTTTAGACAAGCATGAAACTTGTTTGACACGCCCCGATCTCGATATCTCCAAATACTAGGATGGGCACGTGTTGGCCAACACCCGAGGGTGACGAAGTCATATTAACATGCAAACAAGTTATAAAGAAAGAACGAATGTAAATAAAATTGGTAAATTTAAATATAATGAAATATGAGAATACATGAATGTGTTCAAAACATACAACTAATCAAGAATACTGTGAAAGGAATATTATATAACAATGAGATTACAAAGAAAATGGGGTCAACTAGAACAAAACAGTTCATCTACCACGTCAATTTTATCACGGGTATATATAGCTCGTGGTAAAAACTATTCAATTACTACGGTCAAGTTTAACTCGTGGTAGATAGCATTAATCCACCATGGTCAAATTTTGACCCTTTGTTAAAAATGAATAATCTACAACAGACATTTAAATCCGTGATGAAATATCATAATTACCACAAGATATGCTTGTAATGGTTACTTCAAACTACCACATCATCTTTTGTGAATTCACCACACATTTGGCCCGTGATGGATGTTTTTATCGTTCATAATTGAAAGCATTTGGAAGAGGCAGGAGATTAAAAATTTGGAGGGCTGCTAAAATTTTGGCATTGGCGCCCAAAATCTCAACTCTCTATTTTCAAAGAGGGCGAGTTGGCTCTCCCTCCTCCTTTTCATTTCTCTCTCGCAGCTTCTCTTCCTTTCCTTTTTAGAAATTTCCAAACGCCTCCACCTCTGCATGCAGAAAACTGACTCATCTACCTTCACCTTTTGGTCAAGGAGCTCTGTGGATATTGAGCCAAGACGTATTAGATTGCAATCAAATAGTTACACTGCCAACACCTTTTGGATACAGTGACAGCTGCAACTGTACAGGTTGGAAACTTGGGAATTTTGCCTTTCCCCTTGTCCTAAAAAAATAATGGTCCCCCTTATTTATTAATAACACGTGATTAATTAGGGCCTCGGTGATGTTTTCCTTGTTTCTGCTCCTGTTATTTGACATGTTGTCATGTAGTAAGTATAAACATTGATACCTGTTTTGAGATGTATGTGATGCTTTGGTTCAATGTGAAAATTACTAAAGGTGGGCTGGATTAATCATTTCGTGTTTCAGTTATATATGTGTTCATTTTGAGTAGGGTGGTAAACTACAAAGATTAACTTATGTGTCTGAACTTTTAGACTCGGGCCTGTATTTCATAGTGGCATGAGTAGTGTACTTACATGAGGGGTAGTGTTTTGTTGTGAAGTAACGCCAGCTGATTTCTCTGTGTAAAAGTGCATGATTTCTCTGTGCAAAAGTGCATGAATATCAAATGTATTCCTTCAATGCATAATCTCTAATGAACCCTCTATCATTCATTTTGTGAACTTATTGAAATTTGTTATCAACGCCTGTTTGGCCCTCTTATTTTGAAAATAGAACTATGAGCTTACTGTGTGTTTATGCTAATATTATGATTGGATGATTATGTCTTTATTAAATTATATGCTTTTATTGAAGATCTGAATGATGTATAATATGGTTCATGTTGATGTCCACAAGACTGTTTAACCTTATCAGACAGATTTTGAATGTTGATTATTTTTAGTGATGTATTGTTCTTACCCCTTGTTACTCAGTGTAAGGAAATGGGTGGAAGAATCAGGCCAACAGAATCAGTAAGGCCAAGCGAACAATCTACAGAGAGAAAGAAAGGATTAACCAATTGGATGAACATTATAAAACAGGGAAATGTGGAGAAAGATCATTGGGTAATATTAGCTTGCCTTCCTTTCACTTTTGTTCATTTCAATAGAATGATATAAACGTGGTAGTGCTCCCCATGTACACCTTTCAATATAGGATATGTTTGTTGCAGTTCTTTTGGTAAGTAATAAAATAATCTTGTTCTACTATTTCTTATTTCGTTATTGTTGCTTTTTAGGTCCTGATAAGGCAGTTACAAAATGCACGGCATGTGGGTCAGATTTTGGGGTTTTATAGATCTCAAGGAGGCAAAATAGATCTCCAAAAAAACTAAGAATAGTGTAAAACAGGTTTCCAATTCCAATTACCAGGTTTCTAAATCATCTCCCCAGGTATGGAACTGATTTTGTTTAACTTATCTCGATGTCTTCAACTCGAGAAATAGCATTAATAAATCCTGAGGTGAAAGTTCATCACATGGTGCTTGGTCCTGATTGCTGGAAAGTTTGGGTAACTGTTGTTAGAGTGCAGAATATATCTTTGTATTGCCCTACAAATGAATTTCGTGTCCTGGAGGATGCTATATCTAGTACAATTGCTTGGCCATCAAAGTACGTCCAAGTTGGAGAGTAATTTTAGTTTGTACTTAGACTAGAAAATGGTACTTTGGCACTACATGGATAATAGTTTATGACTTCCGTTGTTTATGTATTCATTTGGAAACTCAAGCATTTTTATATTGTGTTATAATATTATCAAGTATTTTTATGTAGTTATTATATTGTAGTAAATATGCAATTTTGTTGGTTATTCTGTACTAAAATATATAAATACGTATATATATTTATTAAATAGTTTTATTTTTTTTTTAATTTTGAAAAATAATTTATAACGGGCATTAACTGTGGTCAATTAGTAATCGACAACGGCCATAGCACGTGATGTTAGATCTCAATCTACCACGGGCACAATCCGTGGTTATATTGCATTGACAACGGGCATAGCCCGTGGTAAAATTGAGACTTTTTATCACATCCAGAATACTAACGGGCAGTGTCTGTGGTGGATTGCAATTTATCACGAGCATTCACCATGATAGATGAGCTTTTTTCTTCTAGTGGTCCTACATCCAAAGGACTCAAAGGTACCGATATGGGAACGCCTCAACGTCGAGATCGTATGCCTCGATTTTAAGTCCTGAAGGGGCATAAAACAAAAGGGTGAATGAACCAAAATTTATAATAATAATACTAAGTAAAGCCATTTTTCTTTGGAACGTACTAACCTCTTGTTTTGAAAACACACACACACACACACATGTATATATAATACTACATACTAGGTTTTTAGAAAACCTTAACATGCCATGAAAACATCTAAAACGTATGTATAAAACAGTGGTCAGTAATGATAACATAGTCGCCTGAAGGCAAATCAATAGAACTTTCGTAAACCCAAAATAATAAAGTACTCCACTAAGGGTATCATAGTCACCATAAGGTACAACCATCACCCGAAGGTGAAGCTGTACGACACTGGGTTACGCCAGTGAAGAAATATGGTAGGTCTCATTACTCGAAGGTGAAGCTGTACGACTTTGGGTTACGCCAGAGAAGAAAATATAACATAACACACCGATACTAGCCGTGGCTAGTGAAGCTGTTCGACACTAATTTCGCTAGTGAAGCTGTGAGTATGTCATAAATATCTCACTGCTCCTCCACTGTGTCCTATGGCCATAGACAAATACATACTCGTGTTATGTGTACGTGTAGGATGATTACCCACTAAGTAAGCACCGAAAGCATAAAACATAGAAACTTTCTATCTCAAGCATCATCATAAATCATAATCGTAAAGTGTAAAAAGCCATGGTTCGTTTCGTAAACATAAATTCAATATTTCATAAACGTTTCATAAAACATAATTTCAATAAATCGTAAATAAATCATGAATGTAAAATCATGAAACCATACTTTCCATGAATGCAATCCTACTATTTTAGAAAATCATGCAATTTGAGAAGGGATCCACTCACAAATACTCCATCGTCAAAGAGTCGTTCGAACTAGGGAGTATAGGATCGCCACTAACAAACACACCTAAGCACATAAAGTGACCAATTAGTAAAACCTTACTAAAACGATTGAATTTGGGAAAACAGAGCACATATTTGGAATCAGGATGTCGAATTACCCTAAGAGGGGTCCCGGAAAAATTTCGTAAAAAGTGAACGAAAAAGTCAACGGTTGACCCAAAAAGTCAACTGAGACGCTGAGCCGGTCAACTACGTTAAAACTTTGAAATTTCATTAAACGGATGTCAAAAACAGATTCAGGGCGTCAAAATTAGTCTAAGAGGGTTCCCAAGAAAATTTCGAAATAGTCAACACAAAGTCAACATAAAGAATATTTCAGAGAATATTCCATCTTCTTCTTCCTCTCTCCTCCGGTTACCGAAGCCACCGTTGGCCGCTGAAAAACCTTGTCGGAAATCTAGGTTTTTGGCCGAATTTCTGGGCAATTTTCAAAGTTTAATAACTCACTCGTTTCTCAACCAAATGTTGGGTTTTTTTTCCAGCCCATGATAAGTTGTCCTACGTCTATAATGAATTATAGTCTCAGAGGATTAAATTGTTTTATCAATTGGAGTTGTTTTCCCAATTGGAGTTAGTTTCTCAATTGGAGAAGGATTCATAACTAGATTCCAATTAGGATTAGTGATCTTTATTGAAGAAGACCTTTATTATGTCTATATAAAGAGGCTATTGTACTAGTTTTGAGAAGGGGAGCAAAACAATAAATTGTATACCACTCAAGGGATTAGAGTGAGAGAATATTGTAAAGTGTTAGAGAGAAAAGAAAAGAGAGGTTATTTCTTGTTCTTGTTCTTTCAGGTTTTTAGTCAAGTCCTAGTTCTAGAGATTTGGCAAGATTATTGGTTGTACTCATTATTGATATAGTGAAAGATTGTTGTTGCTATCCCGTGGACGTAGGCACATATTGCCGAACCACGTAAATTTTTGGTGTTATTTATCTTGGTTATTTGTTTTTTGATTTCCAAAGTTTGTTCTTGTTTTTCCCATTCTTAAACGCGATATTCTTAACAAGTGGTATTAGAGCCAGGTTTGGCTGATATCGGTTTAGAATGGAGGGTGCAACCTCCTGTAATTGGGTTACATGGAAATCAAGAGGAGGACATGCTTTACTGAAGGTGTTAAAAGCAAGCCAGGAAGTATGTCTGATGCTGATTGACCAAGATGAAGATAAGTGATTTTTTTGGCAAAGAAGTCTATAATTGCCTTTGCCAATGACGATGGGTATTGCGATTAGGGGGAGCCTGGTTAAGAGAAGTCTAATCAAGAGGGTCTTGGTTAATGAGTAGTTCGATCAGGGGGAGCTTGGTTATGGGTAATTCGATCATGGGGAGTCTGGTCATGAAAAGTTCGATCAATGAGAGTTTGGTCAAGAGAAGCAATCCTATTTTGGTATACCTTCCTCATGGTCTGGAGGGGGAGATTGTTGGGTTTTTTCCAACCCATGATAAGTTGTCCTACGTCTATAAGGAATTCTAGTCTCAGAGGATTAAATTGTTTTATCAATTGGAGTTGTTTTCCCAATTGGAGTTAGTTTCTCAATTAGAGAAGGATTCATAACTAGATTCCAATTAGGATTAGTAATCCTTATTGAAGAATACCTTTATTATGTCTATATAAAGGGGCTATTGTACTAGTTTTGAGAAGGGGAGCAAAACAATAAATTGTATACCACTCAAGGGATTAGAGTGAGAGAATATTGTAAAGTGTGCGAGAGAAAAGAAAAGAGAGGTTATTTCTTGTTCTTGTTCTTTCAAGTTTTTCGTCAAGTCTTAGTTCTAGAGATTTGGCAAGATTATTGGTTGTACTCATTATTGATATAGTGAAATATTGTTGTTGCTATCCCGTGGACGTAGGCACATATTGCCGAACCACATAAATTCTTGGTGTTATTTATCTTGGTTATTTGTTTTTTGATTTCCGGAGTTTGTTCTTGTTTTTCTCATTCTTAAACGCGATATTCTTAACACCAAATTCGACCCATAATATATCAAAACGAAGATAAGAAAGTGTAGAACAAGCTTATACTTATTTGGAAGCCCAATGGTTGCGGGAGATAACCCAAAAATAGCTTGAAAGGTAAATGGTCCGTGGGCAAAAATGGGCAACTCGTCGGAAAAATGGAGAACTTTAAACGTCAATAACTTTATCAATCTCAACGAAATTGAGTGATTCAAAAACAAAAATCGTACCTCGGGATGAGACGAATAGAATGGTACCCTCCTTGATGGCTAACTCGCTGTGGTTTAGCTAGCAACTGATCCATAACTCGAGCAGTACATTAAGTGGTAGTCAATTGGACAATAATACAAAGCCTAAACACAACTTGTCAACAAGTCTTCATAAACCTACATCATATGAATGATCATACTGTTATGTTAATATATCAGAATAATAACAATGAATTTTGTAAGAATTGCATAAGAATTCACATAAATCAAAAGCTCCCTACGGAATTAACCTAGAATTTTTGTTAGCTTTCCTTGCAGAACAAAGTTAATATAATCTCTTTGTAGAAAAGCATGAAACTTGTTGGTTGGAATAAAATCACTAGCTAATGCAAATTCACAAGTAGTAAAAGGTTTTTACTTTTAGCTAGCAACTGATCCATAGCTTGAACAATATATTCAGTGGCAGTCAAGCGGACAATAATATAAAACCTAAATACAACTTGTCAATAAGTCTTCATAAACCTACGTTAATATGAATGATCATATTATATGGGATAAAAACTGAGCAGCAGATCACTTTGACATATACATATTAGAAGGGATAAAAACTGCACAGTGTCTTCCAACTAATTTCTAACAGCTCCACTAGAAATGCAATTAACATGAGTTTAGAGTTCAAAAGAAAAGCAACACAAATGCCTAACAATTGGAAAATGTCTAATCTTTTTCTTGCAGAAGCATAAATGTCCAAACTTTTTCAATGCAATACAACATAAACACGGGTATACCAACAGTCACTACTTAATCCTACCAATAAACTTCGCTTGGTTGCAAAGATAAGAAAATAAATTATAAATTCAATCCAATGGTGTATCTATTTCAGTTACGATGAATCATACATACAAACTACATAAGCAATAAGCATATTGTAGTAAATAATTAGATGTGAATCCCAATCATATATTATATTGGTAGTCTGATGACATAAATACCTGGCTGTCCCAGGAGGTGGCGACCAAAATGTTCCTCTCTACCTTCACATCGTTTGAAACTCCCCACTGCACAATTTTGCCGTTGTCTTCTTCCCAAAACCCAACCCCATCAAATTGCAGTCGACTCCGATGACATCGTCGCTTGGGCATCCACGAACCCCGACGAGTTCGAGCCCATCCAACGCAGATTCACATCTTCTCCAAATCCTCTCTTGCAGACACCCTACCATTATTCGCCTTCTTCCCCAACGTCCCCCCTTCCTCCCTGTCTCCCGTCCCCGTTACCCCTTCCCTTCTCCTGTTCTTCCCTTCTCCCTTGCCCCCTTCCTTCTTTCAATTAACCCAAATCATTTTTCTAGGTTATCCGCTTCCTTCCTTCCTCCATTCTCCCTTCCCCCTTCCTCCCTTCCTCCCTTCCTCCCTTCCCCCTTCCCACTCAATCACCCGGGTCTGTCGAGTCACTCGGCTCATCTTCTCTATTCGATTTCGGTCCGCATGGATGGTCCGCAAGGACTGTCCACACCTTACACATGCCCTCCAAACTTTAAGTTCAGCTATCTTGGGATGATTTTGGAAGAGACTTGGGTCCAAAACATGGTTGTGAAGATTTTGGGCTGATTATCCTAATCAATTTAGGATTGTGTTTCTTAATATTTTTTTTTTTAATTTATTTGGTTTCCTACTTTTATTCTAAGTCTTTTTCTAGGAAGGATTGGATTTTCTATGTAGTATAAATAAGTCATTGTGACCGGCCCTAGTTTCTTCTTCTCTATGTGATATTTGAGAGAGGAATTTAGCCAAAGTTTAGAGATTTCAAACTTTTACATTCAAGGTGTTTTCAATCTTTTTCTACTTCAATAAAAATTGTTTATAGTTTTAATATGAATATGCGTAACTATTTTTTTTTCCTAGGGCGAGGACATGAGACTTAACATGAATATGTAGTCTTTATTCAATTACTTATGATATTATGCATTATGGATGCATACTTTGAATTATTAATCACTGTGTTTAAACTGTCTCTATGTCGTGATGCTTGATCACCATTAGGATGTTTAGATAAGTAATTGGATGCAATTCGGTCGGAATATCACTAGAGGACTGGGTATTGCTTCTTATGGTTAATAATTGTAATTTCACTTAGGATGAATATCACAAACGGATCGCATGTTAGATAGACGATCTTGCTTGAATATGTATTAGGAAAACCTAACCTTCAAAGTTGCATGTATAATTCATAAGCAAGGACTGAAAAATCGATATTATCGGCGAAATATCGCTGATAATATCGTTTTTTTTAGACAGTGATTTTCACACGTTTACACTTAATTAACATACTAATATCACGATATTATCGATATTATCACGCCGGTTCAATCGTCAGAATCGCAACGGCAGCCGAAAATGAGCAATCCACGATCAGACCCATGCTCAGACCCTGAAAATGAGCAATCCTCTCTCTACCATCCACGCTCAGACCCTGAAAAGGAGCAATCCCCGCTCGGATTTGATGGATCTGATCATCTGAGAGCCTCGTACGGCCTAAACAAGGCCTCCCCTTACCTGATGGTGCTCGCCGTCGCCGGGAGGTGAGAATGAAAGGAGGAACGGTCCACAGGTGGTGATGGTGCTTGGCAGAGTGTGCGCCACTGTGGTGGAGGTCACGGTGAGGTGCGTGTGTGGTGTGTCTGTGCTTCGGGAAAGAGAGTTGCAAAGAAGAGATAGAGGGAGAACCGGAGAAGAAACAAAGAGAGGAATGAGGGAGAACCGGAGAAAGAAAAAAAGCAGGAAATGACAGACAGAGAAGTGAAACCCAAGAACAAAAACCAAAACAAATGGAAAAGAAAGAGTGCAGCGATCATCAATTTTACTCTCTAACCAATATGGTCTGATTCTGATCTGAAAATGATACGTCATGATATGACTACTGTTCATGAACAGTAGCTTTCCTCCTTTTTTTTTTATTTATGTTTTTTGAAAACTCAGTGCTTTCTTTTCTTTATATACCAGCCACATGATTTGTGGCACAACAAACAAGAAAAATTTATATAAAATATTAAAAAATGTGACAAAAATGCCGTTAACAATTACATATGGATGGCATGTGGGTGGCATATTAACAATTACATGCAAAATTATTTTGGGGATTTATCATTGGATGACTACTCTTTACAATACACTTACTCTACACATAGAGATGATGAAGATAGTGAAAATTTTGAACCTCATAAGAACTCTATGTGGTACTAAGTCACTTATGTATCTTACCATGAAATGTATAAAGTGTAAAATATTGTACTAATTCATTATATACAAATGATTATGGTGTGTTTAAACTTCTTTAATTAATTACTACATATTTTCTACACTCACAATGTTTGCCAGCTCGCTATATAATTAACTTAAATCAATTAAATCCATCATCCAATGCATTTTCTTCCAATTTTTTGTGATAAACTAATAGATAATTGACTAAATAAACATCCTGCAAAGTTTCAATAAAAATTCTCATGTTTTCCTTACAATTTCCATGGTTTCCATATTATTTTTATTGATATCGATAATATCCCGATATTTCCATCGATATTTCCGTGTTTTTGGACTATCGATATTTCCGATATCATCGATATTTAATACCTTGTTCATAAGTAATTGGTAAAGTTACATGTGATTGTTAAGATGACGGCGAAACCCTAATGCTTTTACAATTTGATTTTTGAAAACTGTTTCCTATCCAATTAATTTCTATAAAATTGGTCTTTGCCGATTTCTTTAATTAGTTTATTTAAAATTCATTTTTAATATTTAAAATTCCAAAATCAACTTTTTCAAAGCTTTGTTTTAATTAATTAATTAAGAATTAGTTTTATATGAATTGTTTTAAATAATCTCTGTGGGAAGCGACCTTGCATGAGCATTCTTACTACAACAACCTTGTTCTCGTGCAAGTACTTTGTGTGATTTACCTCTTTGCGCAGGTACTAAAAATCCTATCAGGGGTTTGCGTACCGCAATATCCTTGAAATAGAAATTCACTGCTAATTTGTGCTTTAGTTCTGTATGCATCTGTTTCACTAGGATTCAACGATCTAAACTAGAATTTTAGCACTGAAAAACTTAGTTTCTGGCAAATTTCAATGTCGTTCTCTCAGCATGCTTTGTAAGGAATAATAGATTATTTTTGGTGATTGGATTCATATGCAGATGCATGTATTTATAACACTAATATGCCTGCTCGGAAGAGGCATCATTTTGGGAGGTGCTTGTTCAATGTAGAAGGGTATGTGGCTTCAACGTTTCTCAGAACTCTTCAACCTTCATCTGAAAGGATGAGTTTGTTGAGTTTTAAACGTTACAAAATTAAAATTTGAAATTAAAATATTGATTAATGGATTTAATTTTTAAAACCCGAGCCCAAGAGGCCCAAGTCCCATATTTTGACAATTAAATATATTTTAATTATTTATTATTTAATTAACACACACCCACGCCCAAACCCAATGTTCAAGCCCAATTTCACTTTCAATGGTCCATCTTTCCAATCACTTTGTATGATGGACAAGATGTTATTAAGTGTGTGAAAATTCTCAGCTTGACCGATGTGCGACAATTGAGATGGATAAAAAATTCCACTAACAAACTCCAACAATACCCCACATTTGAGTTGAAATTTCATTCAAACACTAACAATACCCTACATTTGAATGCAAATGTAGATACTAGGCTGCCTATCAAAACTGAGAGAGAATATACATAATATGCATAAGGAGAAGTATCTTTTGGACTTTAACTTACCCTAGCGAAAACATATCGGGTTTACTTGGTGACGCAGGGGATGTGGAAGATCTTGAACTGTTCACTGCAACAGTAAATTGAGACATATGCTACATACATATCATGTCTGCCACACGTCAATTCCTATGGTTGTGTTCATTTTGGTCCTAAATAGATCCCGGTTTTCGTAGGAGCTTTAGAGAATTAGCCATTTCAATTCTCACAAATGCAACCCCATTTACTCCTATGTAGGTGACTTAATTAAGAATAGTTTGCCATATTCCTCTTAATAACAAGATATTAATGTCATTAAATGTGTAAAACTTAACCTCTCACATTAGCAAACAACACACATAATCATAAGAATGGGTAAGGTGTGTGTTCAACTATTGAATCAAACTCAACCAGTTTGTCTATTGAACTTAAACCATGGGATCTCTAATCAATTAGGTTAGGTTTTCGCCTAGTGCGATTCATTGAATTGGCTTGAAATCCATTCCCCTTGATGTAAATTATATTTGCTCTCTTGGTAGGCCTTTTGTCAAAGAATCAACTATATTTTCCTTCTACTTTACATAATCAATGGATATAATTCTATTGGAGACCTACTTCTTAAGAGTATTATGCCAACGCCTAAATTGTCTCGACTTTCCATTGTATACATGCCTTTTGGCTCTTGATTGCGCGACCAGACTATCACAATGTATACATATAGCAGTCATAGGCTTTGGCCACACTAGAATATCCTCCAAAAAATGTTTGAGCCCCTCGGCTTCTTCACTAGCTAAGTCTAAGGCTATAAACTCCTGCTCCATAGTGGAATGAGCTATACATTTTTGTTTAGATGATTTCCAAGATATTGTTGCATCTCCCAAAGTAAAAACTTATCCACTTGTCAACTTGGATTCTGTAATGTCAGAAATCCAATTGGCATCACTGAAACCTTCTACAACAGGTGGATACTTTGTGTAGTGCAATCTGTAGTCAAGCGTATTTTTCAAATACCTTATCACTCTCACTAAAGCATCCCAATGCCGGATTACTAATATATCTACTAAGCCTACTTACTGCATAAGCTAAGTCAGGCCTAGTATAGTTCATCAAGTACATTAGACTTTCGATTACTTGTGAATATTCAAGTTGAGATATGGCATTGCCTTTATTTTTCTCCAACTTGCATCCAACATTAAAGGGAGTCGCTTCACCTTTGCAGTCAAATTGACCAAATATTCTTAATTTTTTTTTTCCACATAATGAGACTGTGTGAAGATATATCCTTCACTATTTCTCTTAATTTGAATTCCTAGAATGACATCGGCTTGACCTAAGTCTGTCATGTCAAAACTTGAATATAACATTTTCTTCGTTTTATTTGTTACATCTTTATCAATTCCCATTATGAGCATATCATGCACATACATGCACACAATAACGCAAGATTTATCATTACTCTAATGTAGACACATTTATCAGATTC